TCGACCGACACCCACAGTGACGGGTCCAATGGAGATACCAAGGGATCGACACCCCCGCCATGAGCCTCTGAAATGCACTCCCAATATCTAAGTAGCTGGTCTAACTTCCGTACCCTCTGGCCCTTCCTCCTCCTCCTTCTCCTCGTCCCCATTGCCCTCAGCATAGCCTTTGATAGTCGGCGGTAGAGGTGTTGGCAACACACAGTAGGCGTACTCGTCCATGGTCAGCCAAGAGGCCCTATCCGCTGGGGCACGCAGTCTACATCGCACCTACAATCTACTTCACGACGAGGAGAAGGAAGGCATTACCTTGACAACAGGGCGGGGGACCGATGGAGGCTTCCTCCTCTTAGTAGAGTCTTCACCGTGGTGGACGTGGGATAGGATGAGTCTGTTGAGAGAGCAATGATGATCGGACTAGCAATACAACTGCTCACTCTCCATCCAGATTAGTCCTAGTCTCAAGAGGCTCCAGTCTCAACCCGACGGGGGTGTCTCCAATTTCCTTACATGAATTGCCAAACAGGCTAGCCAGGGCATTGCGTTGCCGGAAGACCTAATAACTAGAACCCTACCTTAGGTCGGTCGAGGAAGATTCCAAAGAGGTCACCTTCATAGTCATCTTCGCCTTGCCAAACGCTCTCTCTATACTAGTCTGCCGCATGTGGGAGAAATCAAAGTCGTGCTCCAGTGCAGTCCCATCCTGAGGACCACCTTCACCATCTCAGGTGAACCTATTTAAGCTACCGACAATCCCATGGTAAAAACGTGTGGGTCAGCAGCACTAGGTAAGCCTAGTATGGTGACCTCACAGTGCATCGGGTAGCCCTCTGACCACCCTCTCAATATTGCCATCGTCTCAGGAGGTATCTACTAGATAGGAACCTCCTCCGGGAGGAGTCCTCCCTATCTCAACATCTAGGTACGACCTCAAATGATATCCTCATATGCCCCATCGCCTCAACTTCTTCATTTTCATTCAACCGAGTAAACTTCACACTCCGCTTCTCAAGCTCTGAAGGCGATCAACAACCAAAGATTGTCCTCCTCCTCCACAACAGCGCAC